TCAATGGTTACGTTATTTTATTATATTATCTCTAATACACACACACACACACACACACACAAACAACACGAGAGTTTAACTTTTAACTATCAAAGTGTATAGTTGATTCTCATTTTAATATTATGTGTTATACGCTTGGTATAATATAAATAATAATAATGAATAAATAAGTATAATTGAATAATCAATAATATATTTTTATGATGCGTAATATATGGCAAAAGTAGGTTGATCATTTTACAGCTTAATCCGCAATATTTCACGATACACGTTATGAGTAATGTTATACAGTAACACGTTATCAAAAACAACTTGCGATCAATGCAAAAAAAAAAAAGAAAAATAGAAATTAGCACACGTATCAATGATGTTGCATCACGACATGTCGTATTAAAAGAAAAAAAAAAAAAAAAAGAATTCTACTAATATCTACTAATATTTTTGTATAAAAAATTGTTATTGAAATTAGAATAAGAATAAGAAGAAACTGAGATCATCTTAAACAGGGTTAGAATTATATTAGAAAACTAAACCTAAACCAAAACCATCCACCCACGTATCCATTGAATTTTAGAACACACTAGTTGAACGGAATGAATGCTGGTTGCGGGATAAAATCTAGCGAGATTTTGCGGTCTTATCAACGGGGTATCGAAGGTGTCATATCGAAGTCGTGCCTTCGTCATTCGATTGGAAAACTTAACCGGTTCATCAGACTCTAACAAAGTTCATTGATTCTCGGTGATCCGCTAACGCTTCCTGCTCCTTTAGTTCGTGCCGGTTAAACGAGCGCACGCCCGTTTTCTTCTCCTTCTTCTTCTACTTCTACTTCCTATTCTTCTTATTCTATTTTCTATCGGTTAATGAGGCAGAAAGATTAGAAGATGAGGACGACGAGAATCGAGTTTCGATTAAAATATATACATCTATATATATGTATATGTTTTTTTTTTTTTCATATAGTTAAACGAGTATGAGTATAAATATTGTACACGAATATCTGTTCATATACATATGTATACATATATATATATATATTATTTTTTGATGTAATTAAAACACACGTATGAGTATAACTGTTGTACACGTGTACAACACGTACCTGTTGAGGTTGAACGCGAATAAATTTCCGTAAAATCTAACGAAAATAGTATTTATCTTATCGTTCACCACGCCCAACGATACACGGGGCTGGGCTCACACCACGGTGACCTGGAAAAAGTAGCCTGCTGCCCGACCGACATCTTTTATGTCCCTCCGCGAAAGAACAAAAACCAGTTCGTGGAGAAACGCGACCTAAAGTGCCGATTGGCCACGTTCCCTTCCCTTCCCTTCCCTTCCTTACCCTTCTACATTCAATGCTTTATTACTTCAACAGAGAACAGTAACAACACCAATGAGGTGGGGGGAGTAATAGCATGAAATTTCATTCCAATGAAAAAGTATAATACGATTCCGTTTTATCGAATGATCTCTGAAAATTTTCGAAACCCATCATCATCATTATCATCATCATTATCATCATCATAATCATCATCATCATCATAATCAATATCAGCATTATTATTATTATCCATCTTAGGTTACCTTTCAAATTTAACCTCGTTTATAGAAATTTCATGTAATCCGTAAAATAAAAAAAGAAGTTACGTGGGATGATCGATCAGGATAATTCTAGATGATCTTTTTTTTGTTTTTATTTTTGTTTTTCTTTCTATAGAAAGATAATTGCTTTTAGAGTCGATAATTACATCTTCGAAGATGAACTTGCAATGATGCTGGGACAATAAGAGACAGTTAATTGCTTTTACATTGTTCTAGACACACGACCCACATATTTTCTCAAACGAACTTAAAAGCGAAGAATTTATAACTACCACTTATCATTTTTCTCCTTTAATCGTTTCAAAGAAAACAGTAAAATCAAATTAATATATATATATATGTGAGTATGTAGGTAGTAGTAGTGCAATGAGAAAAGAAAATCGGAAATGCAATAAATTTCATCGTTTCCTGTTAAACTGAATGCAATGCCAATGTTCTACATTCGAAGAAAATATACATGCATAATAATGATGATTATGATGATAATAATATCTGTGCGACCGAGTTTCAAATATTTCATTCTTAATAAACAAATTCCTGATCGATTCTTCATCAAGATAAACAAATAAAATCCGATTAACCCTTAAGTATTACTACCCCAATAATTTAATTTTTTATCTATTAGTTTCATTATCTTTTCTTTCACATATTATTATTATTTTTTTTTTTTTATTTATTTTCCTTAATAATATTAAAACAAATTGGGCATTTTTAAAGTAAGTGACCATGCGTCGCGACGCGCCCATAAATGGCGCGGGCGATAGTCCATGGTCGTTGGCAACCCCACCACCACCACACTAACCACCACACTACTACTACCAACATCAACACAAACACCAAGATGATGATGATGATGATGGTCGAGAAGCAACGACGAGGCTTCTCCAAAAATAGGACGACGACGACGACGACGACGACGACGACGACGACGACGACGACAAACTCAGAACAAACTCAGAGGAGTCTCGAACAGTTGCTGACGACAACTAAACCTAACAGTTTAAAATGATGTTTGCAAACTAACATGATTTTCTAAATGAATTATTATACATTGAAATATAATATCAATGTTAATCATATCAATGAATGTTTCTTGTTGTAAAATCAACTTTTGAATGAACACTTTACAAATGAAGGCTTTTTTGTAATTTAATTTATTTTATTTTTTTTTTTTTTATTACAAAAATGACTATATATTTATGTACGTAGATGTATGTGTAAATGTATGCGGTGTGTGTATGTGTGTGTGTTATTTTCCTCTTCCCTCTTTTTCTATTTATAGGACAGAGACGACACAGAACGTTCAAAAGTGCCGTTGCACAAACCGACGAAGCTAACGAACCTGAATTCTTTGATGCTTTTTCTTGTAGAAAAAGATAACATGAAAAAGGACAAGAACAAGAAATAAAAATAAAAAGAAAAAAAAAAAACTTGGATACGAATTAAAGAAGAAATACAATATATTTCTTTGGCGAATCTTCTAATCATCTATCTATTTCAAATATCATCCCGGAAATTGTGACGAATTTTTTTTTTTACTTTTTCTACGAAGACATTCTTTGAAGATTACTAAGCTTTATGATAATTTTTGTTGGTTCAAAGATGATAAATGATTTATTAGAATTGAAAAAATAGTTCTACTTTGTTTGAAAGTATTTTTTGTATTAATAAATCAAAATAATATCTATCTATAATTAAATATTTTTTTAATTAATGTGACACGTTTCTTTTTTTTAACGTTTTCAACTTCAAATTGGATCGTAAAATAATTAGAACGAAAAATCAGTATCGATGATCTATAATTTCTAGCGTTAAATTGAACGATTTTGTTTAGAGTTTGCAGAATAGGTCAAGTTTGTTTTAAAATTGTTTGAAATAAATGACAAGAAAAAGATTTAAATAATAAATAAGTCTCATTAACGTGACAACACGTTCTCAAATTAAAAAACGTATTTATAATTTATAATTTCATCTGCTTGCAATAGACGAAAAGATTAAAATGAAATAAAATTGACAAATATTTAAAAAAAAATATTTATCTCATTAACGTAGCAACACGTTTCTTATTAATATTCAAAATCTCAAATCACGAATCACGAAATAATTAGAACGAAGCATTCAAATTATTTATAATTTATACCTTCGTCTGTTTGCAATAGACGACAACAAGATTAAAATAAAATAAAATAAAATGAAATAAAAAAAAAAAAAATAAATAAGAAAATATTATCATCTCTCGTTAATGTGTGTCTCGTTTCTCTTTTAAGAATTGAAAAATAAAATCCCATTTAACCAATCGATTCTCGATTGTACGGATCGCGAGATAATTAGAACGAATAAACGTATTATCTGATAATGCGTGGGAAGAAACCATCCGTTGTTTCCACCGAGAGTGGAGAGAAGGTCTTTAAAATGAAACGGAAGAGGGTTGGGCACAGTTAGGAAAAAGGTATCCCTTAAGAGTCCACTCGTGTAGACAATCGGGATATGCCGATCAATTAAAAAGTCACAGCCCACGTTTTACTTTGTTTTTTATTGTTTTCTTCACTCTTTGACTCTTCCGTGTTGCGATAACCCTTTCCCTTATCTTTGATATTCTACCTTTCATTTTATCAACGATTGTGTTGTTACGTGTCATTGTTTATCACATTTTTATTTTTATAATGATTTTACCGATGCTACTATTCGATGAAATTCTAATTAATTTTTCAACGCAAAAGATATTTTTCGATTCGAAATAATTATTAAAAAAAAAAAAAAAAAAAAAACATGTTTCAATTTAATAATAGTATTGTGTATTAATTTACCTCAAATAATAGTTAATTAATCGTAAGAAACGTATATTGTAGTATAAAAGCACTGAATATGAATTTAACGCACCGTCCTCTTCGAAATTCAACAGTAAACTGATTCAATGACATCTCACACAAAAGTTCTTTTATTGAACGTTGTTGATACGAGTTATCGAAGGTTATACACGTGTGTAACGAACATACTATTAGTAATAAATAGAATTTCAAGATTATACAAGGTTTTATTTGAACGTTTCTCAAACGTTTACGTAATTGTTTAAACTATAAATATATTTGATTTTTCAATTAAAATTTTGTTTAAGTAAAAAAAAAAAATATAATTATCAAGGATTAAAATTAATAAATTATCCGTTGTCCAAATTTTGATTAGAGATGCATAGAGAAGAATAAAAAAATATAAAAATAATAAAAAGAAAGAAAAACGAACCGCCTTTGCGCTTTTGTTCGTGCTATCAATGAACTCCACCCACGCGTTTATATTCCTTTCCTTCGAGAATCTCTCAACGTGTTACGTACTTATATATATATATATATATAATTATGATAATTATTGTAATTATTATTATTATTAGAAAGACTTACCACATGGCTTGAACAGAGACAGGCTTGAAGATGTGCTGTCGACCGCAAACGCTGACACTGAAGCCCCTGTAACATAGAAAAAAAAAAAAAATAGGTAAAAAAAAAACGAAACCGGAAGTTAGATATTCACGTGTCCCTTAGTTAAAAGCAAAGACGATTTTATAACATAGAAAGGGTTGTGATTCGATCGATCGTCTCATTGTTTTCTTTGTCTTATGTCTCTTAGTATTTGTCAGAGTTTGTACTCTCGTAGTTGTTGTTGTTGTTTTATCGAACACTATATGGCTAACTTCTTTATTTTATATCGGCACGAAAATGGTCCTTCTATTACGAGACTGTTGGTTTTGTATTTAGTTTGCTTGCTGCTATTTCGAGATGCACACTCGAGGACTTTTGCTCGACGTTGCACTCTCTCTATCGTTTCAAACGATGCACCAACACACCAACATTATATACAACGTGTGTTTCGATACTCGTCAGTCTTATGTAATAAATTAACGTGTCACTTTGTGGATCATCGAAATGTTCTATATTTTATTTTGTTTTGTTAAGTTTTTATTCTAATCGATACATTAATTTTTTTTTCTTTACCTGAGATTTCATCTTGTTTACGTGATACGAATGCCATCATTTCATTCTAACTAACAATAAGAAGAAAAACCGTGTTACGTTCACCGTTATTCAATCCTCTTTTACGTAGGTACCATGTGCACATACATACACATACTTTCTTTCGTAATAAAATGCAAGCAACATGGAATAAAATGAGTCGGAACTATAAAGTTCCGTGGGTGTGTTTTATAAAAGAGACTCGCATATGAACGAATAATAATGTTACAAACAAATAAAGGAAAGAAAATCATGAAATTCTATGAAAATATTCATTGTTTCTTGATTCTGATCTTTATATGCAATTGTTCTTCTTATCTTTCGTATATATTTTATAATTAATTACCTACTGAAATATAATTAACACCTATTTTCCACGATTAAATTATACTAATACTAATACAAATATTAACATTGGCAGTAAACCCGAGAAAAATAAAACAAAACATTAATTATAATGATAATAATAATTAAAATAAAAAAATTAAAAAGTTACAAGATTGTAACACTTATCACCGGTACTAAATGCGAGGAAAACAAAATTAAAAACATTAATTATAATAATAATAAAAATAACACTTCAAAAAATTAAAAAGTTACAAGATTGTAACACCGTTATCGTTCCGATCTTGTTTTTTTTTTTCTTCTTTTGGGCATGTACCGGTCTTCTTCTTCTTCCTTCTTCTTCTTCTTTTAGGTTTCTTCGTAATATTCTCTCAGGTAGATATTACAGTTAAACCCTTTGAAAGTTATTCCAAGAGAAAGAAAGAAAATAAAAAAAAATATAAAAAGAAAAAGAATTTCATCATAAATTTGATTCGGCCTTAAGGGCCAAAGGGCGTAAAATTTCGAACGGTAATAACAACCGCGAACCGTTATAATCAAATTCTTTTCTTCCCTAAAATTAATACAAATAACATAATAATTATAATAATAACAACAGGAATGAATTTTATCAACAACAAAAAAAAAAAGCAAAAAATACAAAATCTTTACTGAAATCATATCTTGTATTTTTCTAAGCACGTGAATTTAAAAACCAATGACTTCTGACTTTGTGCAACCTCGAGACTGACCTTGGTGTTCACCTGTCAAGTACCTTGCCCCTTTACTTTACCTTACGGTAATGCGCTCCATTTCCCTATGCCCGCATAAGAGAATACGAGAGAACGCTGCTTGACCTTCGCGTTCACCTCGCGAGCAAATACTCCAACCATAACAACAGTAGCCAAACAAAACAACCTAACTATTATTTTACTTCCATTTTTTCTTTTTTTTTTAAGCAACACACCAAATCAAATTAATTACTAACGATACTACGATAATAGTATACGAAACACGTACCTACTACACTTTCTTTTAATTAATTCACAGCTTGAATCGATTATTATAACAAAAATGATCAAATAAATTTAACACTGTTAACAATTGTGTGCAAAAACTGATACGTCAAATTTTTATAATAATTTTATGTTTATTATTTATTATACTAATTAATCGTGTTAATCACGATACGAAAAAGTTCAATGGAAAAAAAGTGTACTAACCCATCGCCGTCGAGAGTAATGGCAGTATCGGCTAGGACTCGAAGGACAAGACCAACTGTTGCCCTTTCGTGACAATCGATACCTAACAGGCAACTTTCTTCTGCATCCTGTCTGCCCGTACAGGACACCACAACGAGATATCTCGTCCTTCCTGGATGCACCGACTCCAATTTCACCGCCTGAAACAACAAAAGTTAACAAATTTTTTTTCCTTGTTTACTTTTTTTTTTTCTCTCTCACTCTCTACACTTGTTTCCGGTTATAAATTATATATATATATATATATATATAAAAACAAGTTATAAACCAGTTAATAAAAAAAAAAAAAAAAAGAAATCAAAGATAAAAACGTACTTCCTCGTAGAGGGTTCTTTTTTATCCCCCTAATCATCCGAGATAAATAAAAAAAAAAAGAAAAGAAAGGAAAAAAAATCAAAAGGTTGTATTTAAAAAAAGGTCGATAACACGAAACTAAACTGCATAACACATACGACACGTTGCAAGACGAGATATGCAAGACAAGATGCAATAAAAGTATATGCAAGACGTCTTGGCGTCTGGGGCAAAGTGAAATTGCACAACGCGTATCACAAATAATTCACTCATGTTTAATTTCCCCTTCTTCTTCTTCTTCTTCTATTTCCTGCTACCTTTTAATCAATCTTTAACAATCTATCGATCATTTATAATACTTTCATCAATATAACTAAATATTATTCTATTTTATTTCCAAGGGAGAAAAAGAGAAAGTCTTACATATATATATATATATAATACATCCTGTATTTCCAGTAGTTTATTTTTTTTTCATTTCATTTCATTTGACGATCTATGTAATAACTATAAGAAAGTTACTAATAAATGATAATATCTTTCTCTTTCTTTCATTCCCTTTCCCTTACATTCTCTAACCACACTTATAACATTTCTTAATATTATTATTATTATTATTATTATTATTATTATTATTTTTCATTTTATTTTCAAGATATATATCCCAGGATGGTAAAATTGTTTCCCGGTTTTCTTTCGCAATACCAGGATAATTGCAGTGGACGAGAAAAAGAGAAAAAGAGAAAAAGAGAAAAAGAGAGAGAGAGAGAGAGAGAGAGAAAGAGAGAGAAAGAGAAAAGTGTTCAGTATCGGCTGTTAGGCTCGATCATTCGCGTAATAAGTCGGAAGATATCGCATAAATAAAGGCTGGGGGTCTTTGATTGGTCTCTCTCTCTCTCTTTCTCTCTCTTTCTCTCTTTTTCTTTTCTTCTTTCTCTTTTTATCTCTTTGGTGCAGTTCGGTGCAACGACTTCTTCAAGAGAATATTTTCACGAACTCGAATGGCGAAATAAGAGAGGGCAACAGGTAAGGAAAATCATTTATCGGTTTACTCGGAACACTCAAACAACATTCGATCAATGACTCATACAAAATACCTTTTTTTTTTTTATATATATATATTTCATTTTCTTGTTCTTTTTCGTTCTACTTTATTCGAGAAGGAATTTCAACGTAAGAAAAATAATAAATTAAAAAAATAATAAAACTACATACCACAATCAAATGCGTAAAATGAATTATTACGAGTTGTGTTAGAACATGTGGTAATACAAATAATAAGAATAATAATAATAATAATAATATGATAGTTCATTAAATTGTTTATCTTGATTTAATATACATTGCAATTCATTTCTTTACTGGTTACTTTTACAAACATTTTTACTTCATAGTATTCATATAAATTATGTTGTATTGCGAAACAGTAAAACCATTTCAAATTGAATGTATGAACAAATTGTTGTTAGAAACGTGAAACGAAATAATATAACGTTGTTGATTTAATTCTTGAACGTTTAATGAAGAAAATATTCAATGAAAAATATGAAATAAATATTAAATGTTAGTAATATTGAGATGAGAATGATCGTTGATTGGTTGTTTTGAAGGATGCTGAAGAAAACTAGTCGGGGACACTTGCGTTCAGCCGCATGGATAACGTTCCTTCAAGTTATCCGATTACAACGACGCAATTAGGCGCGAATGATTCTCTCAGGTGTGGCTTTAAAGAAATAAAAAAAAAAATTACAAATAAAAAAAGAGAGAAAGATGTAACCCTAAGAGCGTACTGCAAACTTTTAACAAAACCGGTTTTTTGATCTTTCTTTTAATCTTTTTTTATTTTAATATAAAAAAGAAGTCTGAGTGTGTAATCAACAATTTCAAACTATTCCTCAACACAATTTTTTCTATTAGAAGAAATCTACAAATAAATTTTACCTTTGAAAACCTTTTTTTTTTCTTTACCAAAAAAAAACTAACGAATTAATTTAACCAGTGAAAGAGAGTGGATATTAATAAACCTCGATTAAACAAAAAAAAAAGAAAATTGGAAAAGAAAGAGAAATACACAGTACGGTGATTCGAATTATCCCTGGCTAGTAAAGAAGAAGAAGAATAAAAACATTAAAATAGGCGTTATAGGAAATGAAGAGAACCAATGATTTCTCGAAYGAACGAACGTCGACCTAACAATTTCATTTTAATTCACAAAACGTTTTCCTGATTGCCGATTAATAACGTGCGATGGTGCACGAAGACACGAAAGCAGATAATAACATACACATATACACTTACATACATTCATACACACATACTTACATAAATACGTATATATGCTATCAATCAAAAGTTTCAGTACATTTACTTGAATATATGAAATATATATTTGATAATATTGGAACTTATATTTTTCAGATATATATATATGTGTGTGTATTATCTTGATAATAAAATATATCTGTAATTGTAAGGGGGCGAAAGTGATTACTCTGATTGAATAAAATTCTATCGAGAATGATCATACACATATACACATACATACATATATACATAGAGTGTGTAATTGAAAAAGGGAAAGGCGGAAAAAGCAGTTAATTTGGTACTCCTCTTGCATCTTTTATCGTACGATAAACAACCAACCAAGAGAAGTAGAATTACAAACGCCGGGTAATAATTATTAATTAAATATTAATCGAAAATCGTTTCCTGTTATGTTATTTTTATTATCCTAACTATTTTTTCGTCTTATCTTTTTTTATTTTTTATTTCCAATTAGTAAAAGATTTAGGAAGAAAATTGTATATTTAAAAACATACATACATACATACATACATACGTACAAACATACGTAACACGTAAAATATTCTTTTAAATCACGCGAGAAATGTTAGTAGAAAAATTGCATCTTGCTTTCTAGAAAGATATTTAAAAAAAAAACATGAGAAAATACAACAACAAAAAATTAATCTAATTAAAAAGAAATATACACACACACACACACAAATATATATGTATATATAAATACATAAATGCGTTTACGAAGAATGAAAGTGGAAATGAAAGTCAACTAACTTAAGTTTCTTCCGCGGTGGACGTACCGTTTATGGGATAATTAATACGAACAATCTCACATATAAATATATATATATAGATGTGTGTGTGTGTGTGTGTATAAAGTAACAACATTAAAGAAGAAAAAGGAGGAAGAACACAGAGGGGTGAGAGGAGAAGAAATACACTTCCACTTCCGGGCCTCGTAATTACCCGCACTTAACCCCATTAAACGATTAATTAGTCGGTCTTGTGACTTCTTATGGGATATAATATGAAACATTTCATTTCCTCGGACAATAAAATGATTGGTTACCACAAAAATATTCAAATATTCAATTCTAATAGAAATTAAGAATATA